TCCTTTGGATCACTGCTTGGGAAACTGGAGCCAGGTGTGTGTGTTTCATCCAAACATGCTACCATTAACAGGAATGATACTGCTTTCTCTTCCAAGAAAATTGACAAAGGTGTATGACTATCCTGTTTAGTGGAATGGGCCTCTGTCTTCTGATCAGTGTTTTCTTTCAATTTGCTGTGAGGTTTCAGATGCAGATACATTGTAACCTCCATTTTGTTCTGGTTGTTGACCTTTCCAGGTTTTCATGGTGTAGATTGAAAGATGGGGTGGAAGTTTTATTTTGTATCAGATTAGAGGACATGTTGACTGACCTGTTCCAGAGAAGAGCCAAGACTGCCAAAAATAGTTGGAAAAGTATGTTGCACTTACATTTTCCTCTCAATTAGAAAACTGGATTAAGATGATTCTGGAAGTCTTCCACAGTTGTTTTAAACTTAGATTTGCACAGTCTATGTTGGGTTAGCTCAAGGTGCTCTCTCAAGGGGCAGCAAGTCTTCTGATGTGGTGCCAGCTTCAGTGCAGGCCTTTGTTTCATGCCTGGATCACAGTCCCAGCCTCCTTTATTTTTGCCACACCAGCCCCATCCAAGTGTCACAGTGCTGTAGGGTGTGACCTGTTACACAAGGCCATTCACTTAGTTTAATGCTCTGTTGTTGCCGTCTTGAGATTTTTAATTTTTGAACAAGGAGGCTTCATATTTTCATTTTGTGCTGGACTCTGCAAATTAAGTAGGTAGTGTTGGCTGTGGGAATGGCATTTCCAAAACTACCTATTTAAAAAAAAAATCCCACTAAGTCCATACTCCTTATCCTGTCTAACTATCTTCCGTGGTGTGCTTTTTTCTTCACGTCACAGTTGAAGTTCCTCCAGGTATGCCAAGCAGTCCCAAACCTGTGTACCATTGGCTCATGGTGTTTCCATCTCCTCCCTTCCCCTGCCCAACCTGGTTCATCCCTGTTCATGGTTTGAAATGCTGAAGAAATATGACTGAGCTGTGAAAATTAACATGGCCATCTCAAGTAGTACTGATCATACTTTGTTTCATAGCTTTTCTAGAAAAGTTATATCTGGCAAGGTTGTGCCACACTTAATCTTGGGATCATTGTCAGCAGAGGGAAGAATTATCTATCATCTTCAGGGTGTTTTTTCATTCATTCATTCATGTAACAAATTTATGTGGAGCATATGACACATGCCAGACTATATTATAAGCACTGAGGATATGGCATTGAATAAAATATTTCACTTTTTCTCAGAGTTAATAATAATACTCTAGCTGGGGGAGACAAAGTCAATTAACAAATATGTTGTAAGTAATAAGTAATGTCTGGAGTTCTAGAAAACAATGCAAAGTAGGATACTATCCTTCATTAAACTGCTGAGTCCAAAGGTATCCCTACATCACAAATCCCATCTGAAGGGACCTAGTGGGTGGTGGGGACTTTCATTTGTCCTTGTACTACTTATTTAGATAGGGTGGAAGACCTATCTTAGGTGATCCTTAATCAGCAATGAGTGTGAGGGTTTGACCCATGTGAAATTCTAGGGTAAGGAATGCTGCTGGTAGGTAGAGCAACAAATCAAAATTCCCTGAAGTGGGCACATACTTATGATCTTCACAAAACTATAAAGAGGATGGTGTACTGGAATGGGCACTGAAGAGGAAAGTAGGCGATGGGGTCAGAGAACTAGGGCCTGGTCACACTTGGTCACCTTGTAGACCAAGGTGAAAACTTTGGCTCCTACTCTGAGATGGGAAGCCACTGGAGGATTACAAAGGGCTCATATTTCAAGTTTAAAAGGATCACTCCAGCTGTTGTGTTCATGCAAAGGAGCCATCTCAAATGCTGCTGAAAAGTGAAGTAAGCTGAGAATCGAGAATTGACTGGTTAGGTAATACAATTATTCTTTGGTTGACAGATGTGCAGAAGACCCCAAAACCAGTCTTTTGGTTTTGTTTCAGGTCAAGGATTGGTGAGGATAAAGGACCGACTTTGATCTTAGTGACGAGATTGATGATCGGTCTGTTGATTCTTTGGCCAGTTGTCTCCTCTTCACTGTGTAAAGATTTATACATTAGGTTTTGGTGTGTAACCCACTGCTCCCTTCCTCTTACTGTGCCTTCTGGTAACTGTGCGCTCACATTAGCTACCACAGCAGTCTCAGGCCATGACTGTGCTTTTCTCTTCTCACAATGACAGAACTTGTCATAGCTTCTTTTGTAGCCATCCTCACAGTTTGCTCTTGTTTGTTCACCACAGTTACTATTGCACTATTGTGTTTTGATCAGTTGTCTTGGACACTGTGGAAGCAGAAATAAAAGAATAAAAGAACTTCATGTTCAGTTAGATAGAAAGAATGGGAAAAGTCAAGAAAATCAAGATAAGAGCATTTAATCTAATCCTAGGCAGTATCTGAGGAAAGCAATGTTGTTGACAGAGGCAAGAAATATCAGGCCAAGAGCAGAATGGGAGGGAAGGTGTGATTTTGGTCACAGTAAGCTTGAGGTATCAAAGGTAGGTATGTACTGAGCCATACAGCAGATACTCAGAGGCCTTAAGGGTATCATTTTGGATACTATCCTTCATTAAACCACTGAGTCCAAAGGTATCCCTACATCACAAATCCCATCTGAAGGGACCTTAAACATTAATGTAGTCCAATCCAGTTTTCAAAACCCCTCTACAATATCCCTTCATAGGCAGTCTTTGAGTCTCCAAATATTTCCTTAAGAAACTTTTTCTGTCCATCTGTAATTCCCATTATAGTCCTAATTCTGAGCCCTGGGGATTGAATAATATAATGCCTTCTCCATGTGTCAAGTGTCAGGTTATGGGTAAACTGTTATCATGTCCTTCTCTGGGTCTTCTCATTTCCAAATAAGACATTTCCTACTCTTGCACTGTTTCCTCAAGGGATGTTTGGAGCCAGTTCCATCTTGGTCTCTCATGTTGGAAGAGGTATGTTTGTTGTTTCCATCTACCTTAAAGTTTGGTGGATGGGACTAAGAAAAAGGCTCTGGGGTCAAACTGACAACCACTGTAGAGTAGGACAGCACCAGAGCTGCCAGTTACTGCAAGCATACTATCTCACAGTGATTTTCAGATGTAAACATACTTAATGTACAGGTATTGCCCAAGAGAATGGAAAGCATATGTTCACACAAAAACCTGTATATGAATGTCCTTTGTAGCATTATTCCTAATAGCTCCAAAACAGAAACAGTACACATGATAAGTGATATATGTATATGCAAAATATGGCATATCCACACAATAGACTAATAATATTTAGTCATAAAAATGAAGTAGTGAAATATGGTCCTGTATGGCTGAGCCTCGAAAACATTATGCTAAGTGAAGGAGGCCAAACACAAAATACTACACATTGTATGTTTCTGTTTACATGAAATGTGCAGAATAGGCAAATCTATAAAGACAGAAAGTAGATAAGTAGTTGCCAAGGTGAGATGGAGGAGGGAATAGGGAATGACAGGGTTTCTTTTTGGGTAATAAAAATGTTCTGAAATGAGGTAGTGGCAATAGTTGCACAACATTGACAATGTATTAAAAACCACTGAGTTGCACACTTTAAAAATGGTGAATGTTATGGTGTAAGAATTGTATCTCAATAAAGCTTTCATACAAAGTATGGATGTTACCTTCTATGTGAAGGTGAGGATCTTGTGGGGATTAAATGAAATAACACATATAAAATGCTTAAGGCACCGTGCCTGGGACATGGTATGTACAATTCTCAGTTAACAACTGTTAGTGTCGGTCTGAAGTAATGCTGCTTAAATTTCAATAACCTGCAACTTTTATTCATTGCTGCATTTGTAGAATATTACCTATTCCATAGTATGCAATAAATAAATACTTGTGTTTTGTTCAAATTCATGTTTAGCCACGTTAACTAATGTGGTTGTCTTTTGTGTTCTTTTTGTATTATGTTACTGAATCCTCATCATTGGGCTTAACTTTGAGCTTCTTGCCAAGTGGTATTAATTAAGTGATACAGGGCTCTTCACAGCCCATTGTTAGAGTGTAGACTCCTTCTAGAGAAGGAAATTCACCTTAAATTCAAGGTGAAGGTGGGGGCAAAATAATGCTTGAGCTTATCTCCTGTAATATAATTCTGCTTTACATTTTTATAAGAACTTAATTGGCCTGATGAGAAGTGGCTCAATGGTTCATTATCAGTTCCCTGGAGAGTAGAGGACTTCATCCTGGTTGAAAAAAATTTCAGTTCCTAGAAATTTAACAGATTTTAACTGGTAATTTGTTCTGCTGAACCCAATTCAATTTCCACATATGAGAGATTCTTACTTTGAATTCGGATAGCAGCATTCCTTCCCTCTGAAAATGTTTTTTAAAAAAATTCCTATCCTTTTATGAACTTGGCATTCTACTAATAAATACTGAGTTGCTTTTATAAGTGCAGCATCAAGGTGCCATCTGCTTATATAGATGCTCATGAAAAGAAATAAACCTGTTGTTTATATTTTCCAGCATTCTATCTAGAAGACTAGTTTTTCCCTTTGTTCTTTAAGGAATGGTTGTGCTTTGCAGCTTCCCTTGGTCTTCTGTAAACCATGAACCATGTAGTTGATCATTTTTCCTTGTTAGCATAAACTGTTGGAAGTCTCAGTATCCAATTTGTGGCTTGCCTCTAAGAAGTAGTCAGGACTTTTTCCCAGCTTTCTGTGTACCACCCGTCTTTAGTGTTTCTTATTCTTATTTTCTCCTTGCCTAATTTGTTTAATTTTTATTTTTGTCTGTGTATATCTTTAATGGCTGCTTTTACAATTCTTCAGGAAACAAATGGGAGACAGTGCTACCATTTTTGAATTTGTAAAAGCTACTCTAGAAATATTTACCTATAACTTCACCCATACTAACAGGGGGGAATGGGAGAAAAGGCAAAACTCTCAGGAAGGTGTTTATAAGCTTTTTTTTTGAAGTCTTTTTGAGTGTCTCTTTTTCCTGTCTTTTTAACAGAAGTTGGTGATATGGCAAAGCAGTACATAGAGAAAGGCCTTTTGGTTCCAGATCATGTGATCACACGCCTGATGATGTCGGAGCTGGAGAGCAGGCGTGGCCAGCACTGGCTACTGGATGGTGAGTTGAACCTGTGGGTAAGCTAGATTTCTGTGAACAGGTGGTTATGGCTAATTACCTTTTTTTTCCTAAACTTTCATTCATTTATTTAGGCATATTCCTCTTTGGCAACATGATAGAAACCCACCATGGTGAAGCCTTTTAATTCTTCTGTCTCTAGACTATCATCCCTAGAGACATTGACTTGAAGGAAACCTTTACTGAATCCTGTTACTGTTCCAGATTTGAGGGTGACTTCTGTTTCCGTCACTCAGTTCTCATAACTCATCCTAAGTCAGAAGTTCTTTCATTCATAATAGGCCACACAAATTAAAACCACGAGTTGCCATTTTTCATTTCTTGAGTAACAGAGAGAGAAAAATCTGAAAATCTTTTATTGAGTGTCTAAGAAATAAAGATTGTTGAAAGTATAAAATGGCAACCTTTGGAGGGCAGTTAAACAATCTGCATATTTTTTGAGTCACCAGTTCCATCCTGGATTTCTTGCATGAGATAGATCTTCAAGGATGTCTATTTTTAGTATTAGTTTTAAATAGCAAGACACTGATAACAACCTAAGTAGCTATCATAGAGAAGCCTTAAATTTTGATATGTTCATTAACCAAGTAATCTGTACCTATGTGTTGATATGGATAGATCTCTGAGATAAACTGCTAAGTGAAAAAAGCTAGTTGCAGTATAGTGTGTATCATATATTATTGTTTATGGTAAAATGGAAGGATGGTATAATATTACTATATACACTTAGAAAAACATGCATAAACTATCTTTGGAAGGATATAAAACAAATTCATATACCCTTTGATAATTTTTTATTTTTAGTATGTAAATAATACCTGGACCTGATTAAAAAATATCCTTAGTGGTTGTGGTTACTAAAATTGTTAGACGTATGGAACCCCTGATGACAGCTATGAAGTTTCGTCTAGGAAACTGCTCACACACAAAATACAGATGCTCACACACAAAATACAAATACTCACACACAAAATATTACATAATTTTCTACTCTAGGAAGCTGAAATTAAGAATCTTCTACTTTAAGTTTGCCTGGTATAAATCTTCTAATTTATTAAAGGACAAAAATGGACTGGGTGGATTATTTGTCTTATTCTTAAATAGCAATATTCCTTGGTGCAATGAAAACAGAAACTTGAACATACTGCTTCCTAGAAACACAAAATGCAGACAGTGAGATTTATCCAGAAGAAACTTCTTTGCCTTGCAGTGCAGTTTTTCTTTAGTTCACACAGTACACTCATTCCTGTCTTAATTTGATGAAACTGAAGCCTTGGGAAGTTGTGACAGTGGAAACCTTGATGTTTGCCAGCCACAGAGAAGCCAGGGGAATTGTCCTAATTTAACTGAGAGATTGCCTATATTTCTTCTAAAGTCTGGAGCCAGGAATCTTCAAAATGAGTAATATTGTGGAGTATTTACTCTAAATCAGTGTTTCTCAAAGTGTGTAATGTGCAATGTTAGTAATAGATAAGAAGACAGACTTTGTGGCCAAATATGTTTAGAAAATGTCAGCTTAAATATGAAAAACTGCTAGTTGATGGTGTGCCAAGGGTTGTTCTGACCACTTGATACTCATTACCTCATTCAATCCCTACAAATAACGTGAATGTTATAATATGAATAATACAAATTTTATGACTCATTATTATGTTTATAATTATGTAATATGAATAATATAAATAATAATATTAAATATATACTGTTATCATTTAATAGATGAGGAAGCTGAGGCAAAACAGGATTCAGTTACTGACAAAGTTAGTGCCAAAGTTCACCAGTTTCCTTTACTTTGGGATTTTATCAAACCTTTAATATGATAATGTAATTCTTAACAGGTGACATAATGAGGCATTTTCTAAACTTGTTTGAACATAGAATCTCCTACCTCATTCCCAACACCCACTGAAAAACTCTAGGATTTGTTCTATAGAGCATTCTTGTGAACTGCCATTCAACATATGCCCCTTACTTTGTAGGTGTACAAAAAGTTGATTCTAAAGGAGCTCATAACTTTCTGGAACACTTTCTATTTAAAAAGTTTGAAACTGTGTCCTTACAGGACTGGAGGGATCCAGTAGACTGAATTAAAAACCTTTGTTAAGAGAAAGGCAATAATGGCTTGTGGAAGGCATGTGTTTATTCATTAGGCAACAGTGAGTAAAGTTCCTGTTGTGTGTCAGAAACTAGTAGGTACTGTTGGTAAAATTGTAAGACACTGTCCCTACTGTTTAAGGGGTTTATATCAGTGTAGGGAAGCTAGGGATATAAAATATTGTTACTGACAGTATAACAGAAGCACATATATGTGGTACCCTGAGGACAAAGGGACACAATTATGGGTGTGTTTCTTTTTTTGTTAGAAAAGGGATTGGAATAACTTTCTGGAAAAAGAGATGAATAGAGATGTTCTGCAGGTTGATGGATGGGGATTGGGAAGGCAGGTTTTTCAGCAGAGGGACGATGTGAGTTAATAGGAGAGGAACGGCTTAACCTGGTACTTTCCTGGGCCTGCAAGCAGAGAGAGGCAGGTGAAGTCCTGGAGTAGGTGGTGTTTGATCCTGTACTAAGAAGGAACTGGAAGTTGTTGGCTGTAGGGACCATGAGACTTGTTAAGTAGGGTACAATGTGATCAGATTTGTGTCTCGGAAGGACTATTCTGTGAACAAAGGGAGGAAGTAGGTGCTGGTGCAGGGAGTTGGTGGTAACTTGAAGCCAACTAAGGGATTGTTAGAATGATTGGAAAGGGATATTGCAGGCCTGAATTTAATTAGCAATGGCAGTGAAATGAAAATGAAAAGGAGGCGCTGTTTGGGAGAAAATGGATTGAGGAGGAAGAATTGACTATTGTGAAGAATTGACTGATGCTGGGTACTACAGCCCTGGGGTTTTCTTATACTGTCTTCTGAGTTTTTTGAGTTTCTTGGCTGTCACTAGCCATGGTAATTTCTCCAGACTCAACACATTTAACTCACAAAAGTTAGCCCTCCAATATTTGTTGTGTTAGTATTTTCTATGACTGCTAAAATTTGGCTTTGCTACCACCTAACAGCAATTTTTCTAGTTTAAATTCTTTAATTGTGAGACTTCTCACCTTGTAAATCAACCTTGGGTAGTTTTAGTAAACTTGAAAATGATCATCTGTATTAAACTCCTTTTGGAAAGGTTGTTAGTATATAACCACTCACTCCAGCTAGCACCAGGCTGCCTGTTTAAATCCCGGCTCTTACCAGCTATTTACCACTGCTATTTACCAGTAGTGTGTAACCTTGGGCATGTCACCTTACCTCTCTGTGCATTTTATTCCTCCTGGAAAACAGATTTAAAAAGGGGTTTGGAAGGATGGAGCAAGTGGATATACATAAAGTGCTTACAAGGATGTTTGCGATAGAGTAATGCTATTTAAGGATGAGATTTTGTTATTATTTGTCATATATGATGTGCAGGTCCTAAATTTTTTCTGTGTATGTGACTGAAGTGTTAAGTTCAAAAATAGTTTTAAAAATATTTAGCCTTGCAAAGTTGAAAATTCAGGTTCAGGTATGGAATGTCTTATGAACCTTTTCGGTGCTTTGCTTTTGCCATAACTTTTCCTCTCAGGGTGAGTAACTGAAGTTCTTTTACATCAAGGGCCTGTTTTTAGTGAAGTACGTCAGTCTCTTAACTGAGTTAGTTTTGTATCTTTCTCCTTGAAAACCCATCTGGTCACTTTTTCAGTCATGATTTTTTTTTAAAGCTCTGGAATAAATCCATTTGGTAAAGTGAGGAGTGTCAGGAATGCCTAGTTCTGGGTTCAGTTTTAAACTCCTTATGTCCCAGGGCACATGCTCTGTAGAGTGATGCCTGTTGAGTGTGCTAAAGGCAATCAAATTGGGAAGGTCAAGAAGAGAATTCTGGATGACAGATGAATCATCATCTTGGTCCATATGGCTGTAGAGAGGCATCCTGCAAGTGGTGGGTGGAAAGAAGGAGAGTGGATGCAAGCCAAGGGAATACCAAGGGGGGCCGGTGGGCGGGGTGGTGGGTGCTCTGTGGTTTGGTCAGCCATGTCCTTGCTAAAAATAGTGTGGCACTACCTTGCCTCCATGGTGTGCTTTCCAGCTAGGTAAGAAACATGTGTGTGTATGGCTTTTTTTCCTTCTCTTTTTTCTTTCTTTCTCTCTAATTTCCTTGGAAGTTTAATACATGAGAGCAGTTTTTTAAAGAGTTTTTCTTCAATTTTTAAGACAAATGTTCTACCAGGGGAATGCATTGCACAAGCCTTCTAATTTTGTTATAACCATGGGTTTTTTGTTTGTTTGTTTTTAAGTTTCACAGCGAGGGTATTTACTGCTTACTAGGTGAAATAGTACCTAGGGAGTAAAAACCAACCCTTTAAAACAAATACAAATTCTTCATTTGTAAAAAAAAAAAAAGGGTGGGGGGAGGTTGGCAGTGGGGTGGGGCCAGTAGGGAGTGTGTTAGTAATAGTTTTTATGTCTAAACTTGACTGTTAATGCACTTTAAATAGTAACCTGTAAGTTCTCAGCTTAATCCTAACATATCCCCAAGTAGCAAGATAGAATTGTCTGCCATATGCTTTTAGGTACCAAAATATTTAAATATGTTGTCAAAGTTCGGTTTTATAAAAAGCAATGTAAGAGGAATTGTAAGAGGAATATAAAGCTTTTCATTGGAGATAAAGATACCTTTAGAACAGGAGTCCTCATTTGGTCTGTGGCGGTAGTGTCCATTTGTTTCATTGTGAGCAGTGTTGAATGCTAACTGGTATTTTCCTTAGATAATTCTGGGATATGTTTTAAGCAGAAGTCAGAGCTGCTTGAATGTGTGCAGGGTCTGTGTGTGTTTTTTTCCCCTGAGAATTAAGTGATCTCAGACGTGAGATCTTTCAAGGTACATGTTTACTCAGAGCCACTGTTAACCAAGTACAAGGTGGATGCTTAAGAAACCAGGCTACAGATGCTGGGGCTAGTGTATTTTGT